TCCCTACACTTGCATTGTCTGGTTACTAAAACAGATCAGCTCTCAACGTGAAGCTGTGTAGCCCAATCTGCAATCTCAATCAAAACAGGAACGAGAGAGGGCAGGAAATTGTTAGTGATAGTAGGATTGGTAGTAGTCATGGCGGGATTGTTTCTGTTAATAAATACTGTATGGGTTTGTTAGGAAAGGTCTGTCTGGGGTGGATGATTTCCAGCACTAGTACAAAGTGTCTCACCTATCTCTGAGGCCTTATGTTTATCTTCCAGCAATTAACAGAAAATAGTGGTTTTTCTTTCTCTGTATCTGCCAGATAATGAGGTTTACTGGCAAGAAAGTCCTGTCAAGTAAATCCTGTTAAGCACAGCACTCAGGAGGTGAACTTACACGCAGCGACCTCGAAAGGTCTGCAGTGTTTTAGTTTCCAGTATAGCTTGTCATATAAAATATGTCAACTGTCTGCTGATGTGTTCAGCAACCTGACTGAACAGCTGCCAATTTATTCTGAAGCATCGTGATTAACATTGGATATCATTAATGCAGAAGGATGGCTCTGTCCTGTTGCTTGTTAGGTTGCAGCTTTCTGTCAGAGGACGGTTCTTTTCACTTGCCAGTACTGCGCTTCGGCTTTTCTCATCGTCTGCTTGCCAGGGGTCCAAATCCTTGGGGTTGGAGAGCTCCCAGGCACTGTTACAAAGACAAGTGTGTCCCTTCAGGAACCTTTTTGTGTCTGTTTGCCCTTAAAAGGGAGTTACAAATGACACACATTCTTCTTCCATAACTAGCAATCTGCTATAATGTTTAAAAAAGCAAAACTAGAATTGTCACCCATTTTCCTCCTTACATCTGCATCTGTCTGTTTATTTGGCACAGGGCTCTCTCGTGCCGTTTTGGTCAGTGGCTGCCTCTACCTGCCCTGCGCTCTTTGGGGAAGGAACAGTGTGGGAAGGATTTTAATTAGTTAAAATGAAAATTCTGCTCTGCTCTTCAGAGTTCATCTGCCATTAATAGCGTTGCCAGGCCACTCCTGGCCACTTAGTACAAGCTACAGTACAAACAGGAGAGACATTATGATGTAAAAATTGTTCTTTCAGCCAAAAATGAGGCTTGCACAGTGTAAATTATCCATTATCTCTCAAACGGCCAGGCACCGCTTTTGATTAGCATCTGGAGAGAAAAAATTAAACTGAAGTGGCTAACTAGGCTGGATGGCAAAGGAAAAATAATTGCAGTCTGGATCTGCAGAGGCAGATTCTTTGTTTTGAGACGGAGCCATTACTGCAATCCTGATGACAGGAGGAATGTCCTTAATACCTGAAATAATTAGTGTTCATGTCCATCTGCCTTGGCAGGCTCTGAGTCAACTGAATGGGCCATGAAGTCTGAGCCTGTCCATGCTGAAGACTTTGCCAGCGCACCTAAAGCTGCACAACTATTTACAAAAGCCAAATTTATTGTAAAACAGTGGAAATATGGAGTCTAAATAAATCTCACAGGATTTTAAAATCTGATTCCTGATTATCACAGTAATCAGTATATTCCAGTGTCCTGCAGGTTCTTGTCTGATTCTCTGTTGGACTCATCCTGCCAGGAGTCAGCCATTGTTGTTTTTTCTCTGAAGCTGAATCCTCTCTTTGTAACCTTTCTCAGGGAGCTTCACAGCACCATGGAGAAACATGTTGCGATCGAGTGAGCAGTATTGTCTGGCCTGGGAATCCAAATATTTGATGGAGCTTGGCAATGCCTTAGATTTTTTTTTTGTGAACATGATGGCTCAAGAAGCCCTAAAATTCACTGTTTTGTCAGGTAAGAACCAAAATCAGATCTGTTCAAGTGGCTCTTGTGCAGTTTCACTCTTGGAGTCTGTTTAAAGGAGGTTTCCTAATCAAGGGAGATTTCTGAGAAGGGAGCGTTGGCACCACCCTGCAGAAGTGGCCGGAGAACCTTCTCTGCCACACCTGAAATTTAGATTTCCTTTCATGGATTGCTGTGCCTCTGTGTCATTGTCTCGTTCTTTTAAAATTGCAGCAGGAAACACCTCCCTTCATGCGTGACTGTGTTTATTTCTCTCTGTTATTACAGTGGTTTACTGCTTTCCATGAACCTTCCAAACGTGCGGGTTACATTCATGTGTCGCGTCTGTTTGCCTCCATATCAGAACATCAGATTCTTTCTTATCTCCAGTCTAGCAAAACATTTCTCAGATCAGCTCTTGAGAAAGAAGAACTGGAAATGACAAAAGGTCCTAGGTTTAGCTTTTAACTTCAGTGAACCATCTTGCTTTTGATGTTTCCTCAGAGCAGCCCAGATTTGTGACTCTGCTGTGCTGTTTGTGTATTGCAGGTATCGTGACGGCCTTGACTTGGCCAGCTTCGCTCTTAACTGTTGCCAGCGTCATTGACAACCCCTGGGGAGTGTGTCTCCATCGGTCTGCTGAAGTAGGCAAACACCTAGCCCATATCCTGCTCAGTCGACGGCAGGTAATTCATTAGAAGCTATCCAGGAATAATGTCTGGAAGGGATTTGGCCCATGGAGGTTAAGTTTTATAGCCATGCTAGTTAAATATCAAGTGATATCTTTCCAGGGAGAAGAAAATGGATCGTAAACTGAAAAATAAAATGATGCATGAAGGTCACTAGCATGTATCTGGTTCTTTGAGGAAAAATAGGAAGTCCCAAGTGAACCAGAGAATTCGTGATAAGATACGTTCCATTTAACCTAAAGTTTTTCTAAATGAAAAAGAAGAATAGATCCAGGTCATAAATGACAAATGACTTGACCACGTCACCAAACAGCCAGGCCAGCTCACCTAGGGGAGGTTTGAGAACAGAAAGTAAAGATAGGTGAAAAGGAAAAGAGAATACAGTGTTAAAAATATTAACTGATAATTAAGAGCCACTAGGAAAACAACGTAAGAGAAGACTGCAGCAGTAGATGCAGTGTGAGGCATATTTTTGCCTCGAGAGAAGTGGAATGGGCTGCTACCTGAAAGAAGTGACAGAAGTTATTAAGTCTCCCCGAGAAGGCTTGCAAAAGACATTTCTGCCCTGCAAAAGCCTGCCGTTATTTGCTGGGCGATCACTGGCATGGAGAGAGGCTGTTTTCTGCCGGCCACATGTTCGTTGCGCAGGCACATCAGTCCAGTCTCTGTTACAGAGGAGCCCTATGGGAGCCGTGGCCCCAGAGCTGCGTGTCATAAATAATGACGTGGAACAGCAGACTCTAAGCAATCTTGATTTCCCATAAAAATACAATAAACATAATTTCGTACAAGCCCTTTGTTTTGCTTGGGGGCATTTGTTACTGCCTTTTAAGCAATCGCTATTGTGAAAACACACATTCCAATGTGCTGGAGCATCTAAAACTAGTTAGCATGATGTCTAGGGAGTCCATCACACACCTGCTCCCTGGTTAATACAAAGACCATTTTTCATTGTTGTTGAGATTAGGCTCCCTTTGATCTTACTGAAAATCTGATTAGGCTATTCAAAATAAAAGCTTTCCCCACATCATTTTTTATAACAGCCACACAGTGCTGCTGCTCTTCAGTCTTTAGTCTAGACATGGTCAATATTTTTGTATTACAGCTTCTTCTTCTGTCTATTGAAACATTTCTAGGAAGATTTGTGCTCCTTGAATTAGGCTTTCATTTGGAAATTTCAAAACAATGCCAGCATCCGTTTTGTTTCTGTTTAAAACATCTGCTTTGTTGTAACTTGTGATCATTAGATTCTTTCAATTCATTTTCTGAATATCAAAAGTACAAAATACTCAGATATGCAGAATTCTCAGTATTGAACTGTGCGTAACTTTGAGGATACAAAATCCCTTTGAAATCACCCAAATTGCTCAAATGTTGCAAAGATCATGCCACAAGCAGAAGTCCTTTGTGTATCAGGGTCGTGGGGATCCTGTGGCCAGTCTCTCTTTCTAGGGCTAGAACAGTATTTGATGGCATTTTCTCCTTTCTTTTTTTCTTAGGGCAAGCGACCTGTCACACTGATTGGCTTCAGTCTGGGTGCAAGAGTGATTTACTTCTGCCTGCAGGAGATGGCTCAAGAAAAAGGTAAAGTTCACCTTCTAACTTTTTTCCCCCTTTATTTTCCTTACCGCTGGCAGAGAAGTTTTTCTTCCAAGAGGAAGAGTTCTTCCGGAACAGAGCTTGGGTCTTTTAGGATAGGACAGAAACCTAAAAAAGTGGGTTTGAAATGCATTTGGAGCCAAATTCTACTGTCATTTCCACCAGTTGAGTGGATTAAATCCGCTGTCTTCACCTGAGGTGCTCCAGTGTGTCAGTTTGGTCTGCAGTCTGTAAACAACAACTTGACATTTTGTGACATTAGACTGCGAGATCAGTCTGTGAGCTGCCCGTGCGGCACTGTGATCCTGGGAGAGGATGCTTTGCCTTTATTGGAAGCTCTCTGTAGCTATTGTATCTGATTCCCTGAGTCCTCCCTTCCATTTAAGTCACTGAAATGCCACTGTCATCTGCTGTTTTCATGGTAATTTCTCCCCAAAGTCAAGTATAAAACCATCTGTCGATTTATTGCCCGTTGTGGTTCTGTTTATTAATAGATTCTATTTTTAATTTTGAAAAAGAATAAAATCGTTATGATCAGTTGATGTAAATTGCATCTTGGAGTTGAGTCAGTGGTGAGCGTGTGCGTGCAGCCTGCCTTCCCCCCTACGTAGCGAATTTAATTCATTAACCACTTAGCCCCACGAAGAGTTGCTAATAAATAAGGAGCTTCCTAAAGGAAAATGTTCCATAAAGTCCAGGAAGGTGGGAACAGAGTCAAGTGAGGACGGAGAAGGTCAGCACTTTTCTGTTGACAGCTGCGTACCAGAACTTCACTTCTGCTTTAAGATGGAAGTCCTCAAATGCAGGAATTCTCTTCTCAAAATAAATCTAATCAAATCCAGAATGATCCTAATGGAGTTCCATTGCAGCCAGAACCCAGATCCTAATCTGGCCCTAGATCTCCTCTTTTTGTGTCCAAAGAATGCAAGGGGCTGAGATATTTTCAGGCTTTTATTTAATGGTCTGAAGTCTCTTGCTGGAACAAAGTGGGACCGTAGCTAAGTAATACATGAAAGGGAATCATTAGGGGTCTTTAAGGTTGGCTGCCATTCTAAAGAAATCTCGGCATCATAATTATGGATCATCGCAGCTCCCCACTGTATGCTAATTTTTCAGTTCCTTAATTGAATTACGAAAGCTGAGCTGTTTGCAAGATGAAAAGCAGCATGTTTAGCGCAGATTGCCAGGGCATTCTTCACATGCGCATTCCAGTGCAAGCCACAGAAGGGATGGAGCTGGGACCTGGGACATCTGAGACTGATTTGGGTTTGGGCTGGGATGTCTCGCACAGAAGAAATACAAGGTCTCATCATGCAGGCCCTTTGTACCCAGATGGCAGTGGCATTTCTGAGGACAAATAACTAATCATGGATTATCCAGCAAAACACCATGGCAGAAACTCAAATTCTGTTAAAAGAAAATACTCTTCTGCAAAACAATTAAATAACCTTTGGGATCCTTCATTTGGGATCCTAAGCCCAGAGCTTAGGAGGTTTCCAGAAAATTACATTATAGCAGAAGATGTTGTAGTGACCCATCAGAGACAAGTTGCTGCACGGGAAGATCACTGGTCTGGGTTCTTCATCACGATTCCCATGCATTTTAGTAAATAAGAATTGTAAACTAATAAAAATTTATAATGGCCTGACCCTGAACCTTGAAGCCAACCTGCACGCGACAGGAGTGAGGCATCACAGCTCACGGATTTGTCTGATGCTGTGTCCTACAGAACCGCATGTGTGACCAGTATCACCATGGGGTTATCACCTCTGCTGTGGTTAGGTGTCAGGAATACCACTCCCAAACTTGGCCATGAAACACTGTCCTCAGCCCTGCGTCTGTACGCTGTCAGAGAGAGCGAAATTCCACCTCTGTTCCCTTTCCAGTGAGGGCTAACACGATGGGATGCTTTCCTCTCTGCCTAGTGGTACCCTAAAGGCACAGCAAAGCCCAGCTCTTGAGGACGGATTGTGGCATCAGTTTTTAACTCTTGCCCATCAGTAATTGCTTTTTTAAATTCATTTTCCTGCTGTGCAGACTATATTAATATTCTTTATCACATAAAAGATTTGCAAACTGTGAAATACATTTAATTCCCCTAGAGTGCCAGCAACTCTCTAGACCAGTGGTTTGTTCTCAGGTTTCTGTCCCCCTCTGTCAATATTCAAAGAAAATTAGTATTTTACAGCCAAAGCTGGATATTTTTGTTCTGAGCAAGAAAGACACTGTACAAAGGACTGGAGAAACAAAAGCTTCCAATTCCTTGGCTAAATGTTCAGGATCCTGATGAATGAGCTGTTTGTTTATTCAGTTGGCTCACGCTGTGGCCATGGAATTTAGTACCTTGGTTGGAACGAGCTCCTCGTTCGCAAAGCTCTGGGTTTCTTTTTCATTGCCCATGATTATGGGAACAGGGCTTTATTGCTTGCAGATTCCACTAACGAAATTTAATTGCTCTTTGCTGTTCTCTTGATTGGTGCAAAATTTGCTTTGGAATAAGAAATAATACCATGAGAGCTCTTTTGGATGGTTGTCAGGTGCTGGGATTTACACTGCAGAGAAAGATCCAGGCACTGCAGGCAGCTCCGAGTCTTTTACTGCTATTAGGGAAAGGAAACCAATTGATTTATGTTTAAAAAGTCTAGCCAGGCAGCACCTCTCCGTCTTAACTGGATGTGCTATGCAGTCATTCTCACTTTCACTTCCCCGTAAACTTCAGCGTATTATTTTACAAACTGCAAACGCCAGCCTGAGAGTGGTTTAGCTCCATCTTGTACCCGCTGGTCTCCCGCAGGTGGAGGGTGTGGATTTGGCGTGCGATGCCCACGAGTCTCCCAAGACCGTGAATTTCATTTAACTTCTGTGGCATCGGGTGCTCAATCTCTCTTTACAAAGAAGATTTATGAACATCTATTAATATATTGTTGAAGAGTTTAGGAAAGTAGCAGAGCTGCCCAATATTTCAATCATTATTTCTACTGGAATTCCCCAGCTGCAGTTGTCTGATAAAAGAGGAAGATTTATTACTCTTAAGAGTTAACATTCCTTTTCAGCAAATCATGCCCTGGGCATTCAGGTTAAAGTACCCTTCAAGAAAATCAAACCAGTTTGATAGATTATCACTTTGTGTTGGCAAATGCCTTCCTTGTCGCTCGTTCCCAATCAATATTAACAATCTGGGGGTTTTCTGTGGCATGTGAGGTAGTGTTTTTCATGAACTCAGCTCCAAGGACTGGTTGTGGAAAGAGTTTGTCATGCTTAATATATGAAAACATTTGCTCACTAGATGGAACATCAGTCCCTTTCACCTGTTTCAAGCATAATAGTTTAGCTCCGTGCAACCCCAGATCAATATGACTCTGGAAAGAACTTTCCACAGGTTTGCTGCTTGAACAGCACCTTCCTGGACAGAGGCCAGGCCACTTCTCCCTCTTGCCACCAGCCCAGTTCCTTTCACTGTCTCGGGATCTCTAATTTTCGTGTTTACTGACTCCATCTAGAATGGTGGACACTTAACATTTGTGCAAAATGATGTTTAAGATCCTCCTTTCCATTGTTTCTGTGTCTAAACCACAAAAATGCTTATTTTTCTGTACATACCCCTCCTTCATGTACACGCAAAGATATGTTTTCTGATCCGTCTTCTAAATCTGAGCTGTTCTACTTTGATCTTAACAGATTCTCAAGGGATCATTGAAGATGTGATCTTACTGGGGGCTCCAGTGGAAGGAGAAGCCAAGCACTGGAAAGCTATCACCAAAGTGGTGTCGGGCAGGATCATCAATGGTTATTGCAGGTGTGTAGGTGCTCAGTCCCCTGCTTCATTATCCCAGCGTCATTTTGGAATGATTTTGTACATTTATACCTTTTAAACGTTTTGTCAGTTAATATTTTTTCAGCTGGTGAGTGTGTTGATTCAGCAGCGCCAGAGGCAGCAGTGCCAGAGCCTCTTCCCTCCGGAGGTCTCTCAGATAAATTCGAGGTGACAGTTTTCAGGTTGCTCCAACTCCAGCTCTCGGCTGCTTGCGATGCAATGTTACGCTGGAAGCCCAAGGTGCTCAGTCTGTAGGTCCTGTTCATACAGCGGCAGTGTTCTGTCCCCCTGGCAGCTTAAAGCTGGGTCAGTGTGTTTGTGGGCATAATTTGACATATTCTACGGCCCCTTTAAATCTCAGCTTATGTAAAGGACTATAAATACGGCCGTTAAGTTCACTGACAGTTAAAAAATGTGAATCAAAATCTAGCAAAGCTTTGAGATACAATTCACTAGGGGATGCTTATGGGGAACAAGATGTGGAAATGGTAATGGAAGGGAAGGAGCTCAAGCAAATTGAAGATTTTTTATATCTAGACTCAGTTTCTGGTCAAGATAGTCCACCTGGACAAGATATTTTACTTACAAAGGAGATATAGCTGGAGTAGGTGTAGCACATTCACTAAGGACATGAAAGAATAGAAAGGTTGAAATCAAGTATCAGCCTTTAAAAACTGTGCAGACAACGGGTATGCAGGGTTGTGAGAGCTGCTGGGCGAGAAGAGGGAGACTGAGAGACAGGAAACAGCTGAAGCAATCTTATAAAAGCTATTAAGAATTCAAGTGACAGTATCAAATCTAATGACTGTATTGGAAGATAATTGTGACAAGAACACTGCTTACCAGCACAATTAGAAGAGGGGAAATTAAAGCGAAGGAATAAAGCAAGAAAGAGTAAGAGCATAGGAAAATAAATTGAGAAATAACCAGGCGAGAAGATTAGCAAAGAACATGTAACTGCAAGTCAAGACAGCTTATAAAGCCGCGAGCCCTCGGGTCAAGGACTTTCCATGCACACATACATACATACGTTTGCCTACGTGCATACGTATCAGCTGAGGAAGTACTGTGCATCTAACATAGTAGATATTCATTTACAAACATTTAGTAGATATTCATTTACAAACAAGAATTAAATAAAATAAAGCATTCAAGATTAAAACAACAAATTAATCCCATCTATCAGTTAGACTGAAAATTGTTGCTTTTGTCCTTTTTGGATCACAGGAGGTTTTGTGGATGCGGGGTGTGCACACCAGTTACAATATTTCTTCATGTGACTGAAGGAAAAAGCAATTGCTGCCTCCTTGGGAGTGCTTCTGTGCTCCTCCAAGAAGCCATAAATGATAGCAATTGGTGCATGTAACTGAATTTGCCTTGGCAAATATAATTCCTCCTTGTGCTATACAAAAATCAAGTTCACTGCAAAAAGCTCAGTGTATTCATTCCCTAGAATATTTAAAAAAAAAAAAAGATCCTGTTATAGTTTCAAAGCCTGCCTGTGCTGTTGGAATAAAATAGTGCGTGTGTTTGTGCCACTGTGTGTGCAGTAGTGGGGTTAGTCTCTGCCTTGGCAAGCCCATGTCTTGAATGTTGAATGAAAAACGATGTAGAAATTGTATCTTGTTGCTCACAAATAGGAAGAAGCAGGTGAGGAGACTGTCAGGAAATATTCCACTAGGCTGGTTCTCTACTTTGCCCTCGGGTGCTGAATTTGCAGGTTATTCGGTTAGCATGAGGGGCAACGAAGGAGGTAACCGAGAGATGTGGAGAATTTATGTCAGGATATCAGATACGAGAGAAGGATTACACACACTTTCCATGGTAAAAGCCCCCCTGATTCTGCCTTCTCTGCTCTCTCGCTTATACAATTTGTGGCCTCGTTCTGTCACTTTAGGAGTAACTTGATTTAGGTCAGATGAATTACACTGAATAAAACTCCTGCAAGATCAGATTTGGGCCCAATTTGTTGAGCTTCAGTCTGCTGCAGCTTGTCGCCTTCAGCTTTGAAGTCTGAAAGGACACAGAGAGTGAAAGCCAGCTGTCAGAGCTGTCCCTTCCGATTTCACAGCAGGGTTACAAATTCCTCCTGGGAACCCTTAACCAAATCAGTTAGACTTGCTCAGCTTTTGAAAGGACCCACGCCTGAGTAGCGTGGATGTGTCGCAAAGATTTTGCAGAGCTCTGCGTAGACGTACAGCTTCTAGCACAGAGTATTTTGGAGTGGAGAGGAGCAGCCAGGAATGGTGACCTTTGCAGGTGCGTTTCCCCTGCTGCCATCACAGAGTATAAATACCACTTGCATCCAACTTAAATCTACTCTATAGGGGTGTTTAGGTGCTCAGGTGTTATGCTTAGCGCAGGAGAAGAGATTATGTATTTCCAAAGGATGCATCATGCTATAGTCTACCCTGAAACTGTCACAGTGTCACAGGGAACAAGTTCTTCCTAGTTTTGTCATCGAAACCATGTATTTATACAGTACCTAGAAATCAGGAGCACTCTGAGGAGCTTCACAGTCAATATTTATGTCAGGAACATTGGTATCGTAGGTCTCATCACGTCTACAGCTGTTACGGGCTGGAGAACTTCTACCTAGCAGTACATTAAAAAGATTCAATGTGAATATATTGCAATCTCTAAGCAAATACAGAAATAAATAGAAGGGTCAGATTTTTAAACAGGCTGCACGTAATGAGACTACACCCATGAATCAGGACACCCATGAATCAAGATTAAATCCAGACTTACACTGCTATGTCCCAGGAACCTGCCTGGAATTCAGCAACTGCTCTGATTCCTATGTCGGACAAAGCTGCAGCAGGTCTTGCTCCAGACACCACTCTGCTTCCCAGCCCTTCTGCTCTCCTCAGGTCTGAGTATTGCTCTGGTTTGGCAACAGGATTTATTCATGCTCTTCTGCTCTGCTCCTAGGGGGGACTGGCTGCTGGGGTTTGTGTACAGAACCTCTTCTGTCCAGATCAATGTTGCCGGCCTCCAACCGGTCGACTTGGATGACAGGAGGATGGTAAACATGGACCTTTCCTCTGTGGTAAGCAGTACTACTTATATTCTCAGTTTTTCCATCTGTCCTTTGCTTGTAGTGCTGTAACCTCACACTCATTGATTCGGGGAAGATGGGATACTGAAGAGAGCGCCGCTGTATTCATTGTCCCTCTTTCCTTTCTTTGAGATAGCTCTCCTCTCAGATTTCAGTATAGATTTTGTTGGCCCAGCCAGCGCTCAGTATTGAGCAAAACAATGAGAATCTGCCTCTCTTGTTGAATATGTTTTTGAGTTTTTTGGTTCTGAAATATACTGGAGACAGAAAATGCCACTATTGTCCAAGAAAGACCTTGCTGTCCTGCAAGGCCCGGCTCAGCAGGTAGGTTGGATCAACAGCTGGGAAACCTGAAGCTCAAACACCTGACTGCAGAGCGGGTGCAACCTTCAGTCTTATCTTGGTGGAGCCTCCAACACTGCTCAGGTTCATACGGGATCATGGGCCTTGGACCTTGGTCCCCTGGGCTGCTCTGACGCCGTGGCGCAGGAACCAGTTTGTAACGACAGCAGCTCTGTGACACCGATGGCTGGTTTGCTGCCTTTTTGGAGTGTAGGTCTCCAGGAAGCAGGAAAAGATTCACCTGTATGTCTGGCAGACATTTAGCTTCCTCAAAGCTGTCTGGTGTCACTAACGATAAGTCACTATATTACATGAGCAATATTCAACTCAATTACCTTAATGATCTCACTGCCTTGTCTTTACTCATGAGTGAGCTCTTCCACAGAAAATCACGCGGAACTTAGCTCATGTATTCACAGGAATCTTGGGTGTGTAATCTTGGTTTTTCTATATCTTAATGTTTTAATTCATTTTTTACTCTCTGCAAACTGGACTGGAAGATGCTCAGCACACAGCTCGTGGTCGTTGTTCCTGCCGTGCCTCCTCCCGAATGTCCCCGCAAGCTGGTACAGATTGTCAGTGTTGCTTGGGAGCCAAAGGCACTTTTAAGTGCTTTCAGATTTTTTGGAGCGCCAGCCCACTGAGCCTATAAATACCCAACTGTTGCCAGCTCGTTTCATTCATTATAACTGAGCAATGTGCAGCCCTTGCCAGAAAGCACAGGGCTTAACGCTGTACAGATAAAACAGAGGCTTTGCAGAACAAAATGTAGGCTTCCCAGAAGGAAGGGGTATAGGAGAGGCTTACAAGCGTGGTCCAGCACTGCAGCTATTCTTGTATCTTTGCATCTTGCGGGTTTGTCTCGGTTAGCATTTCCACAGCCATTTTTTCACTGTCCCCAGAGCTGCCATTAGTCGCTTGCGAGCAGTGACATCTGTTGCTGGCACGAAAAGAAAAATGGCCAAAGTGTCAAGCAGTGGTGGCACTGGGATGACTTTTCGTGTTAGTTCAGTCTGTGTTACTCTCCTCTCTTTGACTTCTCTTCAGAAACCCTCTTTCTATTGACCTTCTGCTTCCCAAAGTTTGAAACCCTGCAGGCTTTATCCTGCCTGGCTCGCAGCAGCTCTCTGTTTTTCCCCCAGAGGAGCAGGATTTACATTTCAGCTGAATGAATAATGGTTGCAGAGCTGCTATCTACTAATCTTCTATTGTTGTGCATCTGTATCCGTCCTGCATGACGCCAACAATCCCAGTGCTGTTCTCGTTTCGGAAAGAGCTGACGCTTGCGCTTGCTTCATCTTTACTGCAAAGCAGTGGCGGGAGGGGGAGGAAAAGCAACCTGCGCAGGGGGACAAACCTGTATTAAGTAGGTGTCGTTCTCTTCGTCCGTTTTGCAGACCATGGAGCTTTATGAAAAGAAATACTTTCTGACAAACATTTTAAAAGTAAAAGGAGCAATAATGAGGAAAGAAATGTTCAGGGGCAATAGTTTTTAAAGTGGCAAGAAAGCAAAGATGGATTTTCCTGCAAATATAGTGCAGTAGCATAACAGAAATATATATAGAAATATTTTCTATACTGGGGACCAGCTCCATCCCTGCAGGTGCCCTTGCTGGAGATCCTGAGTCTCCTGCCAGGAATGAGAAAGGATGAGCTGTGAGAGGAGAATAAAGCACAGATGATGCAAAGGTGCTCGGTGTGAAACATAATGCAGGCAAACTCAGTATTTTGGGCATCTCCCAGTCCATCCATGATGAAAACTGGCCTGGATCCAAGGAGCTTGCTTCTCTTTGCTGTGGCAGCATCAGAATCCTCAAACGAGCAGAGGACTAAGAGCCCTCAGAATAAACAGGAATTCACCTCCGAGGCATTTATTGCATGTCTCTCTTGATTAGTGTGGTTTTTATCTGACTGTCAGTTAAAAAAACTGAGAGAAAAATGTCCTCCCACTCAGCAAATGCAGTTATAAAAGCCTTCCTAATGGTGACAATGGGACTGATTTATTCACTAGATTTATTTGACAGCACCTGTTAGAGAAACCAAGGCAGTAATGGAGCTGTAGTGGATGAGACTGATTGCTGTTTGTTCAAATGGGATATTGCAGATTACATTTTGCATTAACATTTGAATATTGCACAAATGCTCAGACTCAGAATGTGGGCAGAGCGTTTTCACGGAGGCTCACAAGCCAGGAACGGCTGCTGAAGTTTCTCTGGGCAGTTTTACTGCAGCAGAATCCAGCAGTGAACTGGGAAGCTTGGAGGCAGCAGGAAAGCATGGCTGGAACTCTAGCAGAGAGCATGGCTGGACCATGACGATGATTGCAGAAGTCAGAACTGTCCTATCGTTAGTCCAATGTGAAAATTGTCTTAAAGATCTTTATGATTAAGTTTTGCATCGACTTTAAAACTCCTTCCTTGGCTTGCCTGTGCTCATACAAGCCAGAGGCAGCGCCAGGATCGCATGCAGGATCTCCCTTCTCCCAGCTCCTTTCTCTGCCCACCCCTCGCCGCTCCCCAGGCATCCTCTCTTGGCAGTGGGGTGCACCTTGGGTTCCTGTGGCTCAAAAACGGGGAGAAGTCAGGTTTCTTCCTCTGTCCTAAGAGCTGATCTTCATGGCCAGATCCCATTTGGTGCTTTATCTGTTCTTTCACCAACCGCAAAGGCAATGGATTGGAGCCGTGGCGATTGCCCCAGTTTAATGGCAAGAGATGTGTGGTAACTGCAAATTGATTCCATTATCGTCTCTTCTCAGACATGCTGGTCTCTGTCCCCGTCCCTCTCCTCCCAGGACTGCTGTCATTAACAGGGAGAGCAGCATCTGCGCTGCAGAGCTCATGGCTCGCCTCGGTGCCGCGACCACCGGCGGGCTGGCTGCAGGCCCGGGGGTGACATTATTTGTTTCCAAAGCTCCCGTAAATCGAACTGTGTTTTTATGACACCGTAACCAGAGGCACTCATTGTACCGAACACAAAGACCTCCTCTGGAATTTAATAGATGCAGCTGATGATGCTCAGTGACATTTTTGACACTTTTGGGTGGATTGGAACTTGAAAACCTTTCTGAACTTTCTGAATTGACGGCTCCTTTCAGGCGACTGATCGACCCACCGGAACGACGCGATCACCTGTAGTCCTTCAGAGATCTTTCGGTGCAGGGCTGTAGTCCTGAAGCAGAATTCCTGATACAGGCAGCTGGCCTGTGCTTTCCAGTGAGTCAAAGCAACCGTAAAACCAGATCTAACAGGGGAGAAGTCACCCGACCAGACTCATAAACCTCCCCCACTTCTCATTTCCTTATAACAAGTGTAAATATATTTGCTTTGGTTACAAGAACACTTTTCTATTCCATTTATTTTGGAATTCCCCCTGTACTTTGTTCTGACAAATAGTCAAACAATTGTTTATTTCCCTTTAAAGTTTTTTATTGTCCGTTACAATGTTCTCAATGTTCCCATCCCTTCCCCAGCACAGCCCACCCAGTGGAGGAATTCCGATTTTCTGATTGCAGATGAAAACAGGCTTTTGAGAGATGGAATTGCTGAATTTTCCCCACCAGGATGGCTTCACAGCTTGAAAGCGGCACGGCAATTTGTTCGCTGTTCTTTTGCTGATGGCTCAGCACTTAATGTCACAGTAGAGCAGGGAAAGATTTATCCTCTTGGCTCTGGCTTTACGGAATCCTCTCCTGGGCCATCCTGGGAACATGAGCGAGTTTCCTTTGAGATGTAGTGGTCTGAGCAGACCTGCAGAAAGGGACAGGCTTTCAGGAGGTCTCCGCTTCTCTTTTAGCTGCATGAGGCAAGGCTCAGCTCTTCAGAATTGCTCACACCCAGCATCTCTTGGTGATCGTGGTGCTCAAAAATCTTCCCCGTTGTGTTAGTGGAAGCTGCATCCAGCAGAGGAGTTATGAAAATCTAGTCCTTGGGGTGGCAGAGGAAATTTGTTCTGACTAATGCCCAGGTAACGTCACAGGCTGAGAAATCCCCAAGCGCTGACCAGGGCAGGTAGATCGTGATGACCGCAGAGGTTTTTTCCATTTCCTTCTGGTTTCTCTCCACCCTGTCCACCGCTGTGCTCATTTCTTTCTTTAGCACTGAGCTCCCTGCTGCGTAGTGAAAGGTTCATAACTTTTTTTTTCAGAGAACAATGTACACATCTTAACAGCTAGTCCATTAGTCCTTCGATGGTTATTTTAATTAACTAATCTGTTCAAAACATCCAGAGCCCATAGAGCCATCTGGACTGATTAAAGTCGCATATTGCATTACTAATGCGCTGATTAAATCCTTCAGTTCACTCCAAGTCCTAAGTGCAGCCAAATGTTACCACTCAAAACCTGCTTCATGCAAACAGCCAGGATTGGGTTTGGGGTAGGATTTTGCCCATGGAGGAAAGGAAACTTGCTCCAGGGTTGGGTAGAGGTGTGCTGGTAACCCCAGTCGCTGCCGCAGCGAGGAAGGATGCTCCCCGGCAGCAGGAGCTGGCAGGGAGGTGAGAAGAGGGGCCACGGGTGGGCTTTTTTTGCAGGGCACTGCAAAGGGCTCTGACCATCTCATCTGAGTCTGACATGGGGCTGGGGAGCAGGAAAGCTGGGATGGTGGTGTGGGGTATTCCCTGCCCTGGGAAATTCCCTCATTACCAGTAAGATTTGGGAAAATAAGAAGCAGTGTTGCCTGAGACAACTTTCTGAGTAGGTCTGGAAGGATTTAAATTGTTAGAATTTACCAAAGATGCTAAAATATCTTAGGATGCAAACCATACCCCTTAATCTTTGCTGAAATCTACAGGCCAGCTGACACGTGTACCATCGAAATCGCCTCCGCTCGGCCTGACTGCACATTCCTCTCCGCTACAAACCCATGACAAATCCACCTTGTGATTCTGTGCTCACAACCGCTTCCTCCCGTGTTGGCTGTGAGTAAACGGCAGAGGAGATCCGACAGCTGGGCTCGAGCGGGATCTTGGCTGTCGGTACTCAAACGCTCGGCTTGCACGGGACACCTGGAACAGAGGCGGCAGTTCTGCCTTCCCAGCGCCTAGCACATGACAGTGATAACCTGCAGGGGAGGTTGTTCTCTCCACCCTGCGCCCTGGCTGGATGGGTACCTTCCAGCACCCATCTCAGAAGGTTTATCTTCTCATGGAAATCACCTCTCTGTAAAAACCCGTGGGGTTCTGCACATACTGTTGACTTTAATTTGGTTTATGAACCCGTAACTCTCAGCCTCCTGGTTTTATCCGGTGTGGGACAGATCAGCACACCTTCTAGCCGAGAACTTTAACACATTTGGTGGCTGTTGTGCGACTTAATGACTATATCCTAATTAAAATGAGATAATCTTTGTTTTTACAAGGGAGCTAAGGCGCAGGGAGGACACATGATTCAGAGAACAGGTTTTTGAACTAAGACAACTTGTTTCCTACCTGGGCATGGCAGATCACCTCCTTTCTCACTCTCCTGGTACCCAGGACCTGGGGTTTTGTAACTCAGCAACGTCCAAGCGTTTAAACATCCGTCTGTCAGAGGAAAAGCAATCCAGCAGCAGCGTGTGCTGCGAAGGGCACAGCCAGTTGGGGTTATTCACTGGATGAATTTGCCTTTTTCATTCTCATTTTTTCATCCTTTCAGCTTTTCAGAGCTCAAACCAAGTCTCACGGCAGCAGTGGCTGTTGGGATGAAGGACTTGCCTGAGCCAGGTTCCCACTAACAGACTCTCGTTGTTTTGTGCAGGTGAACGGCCACCGGGACTACATGAAGCAAATGGACACGATCCTCAAAGCCGTGGGTGTCAAAACCAAGGAGTGTTGGCCGGAAGAGAAGGGCAGCGACGGTCTTTTCTCCCCGCCATCCGAGAAATCGCAGCAGGCAGCAGGCAGTGAGGCTCGGGAAGAGGAAAACACAGTGCGAGAAGAGGATGCGGCTGGTGGTGAGGCTCTCCCAGCCGTCCACGCTCACCGCCGACAATCCCAAAGCCATTCCTTGGGAGAAACCTCGCTGCCCTGCCCCGACTCCTCAAACAGCGGGGACAGCAGGGGACACCCAGCGGGTGAAGCAGCAAATTAGAGCTCTTCGTGTTGGGCAGAGATGCTCAGGCAGCACTAAAACCGCTTTCAAAGCACCATCTAGTTGCACTGGGATTCCCAAAGGAGGACTGGGAGAGCTGGCAGAGCTGGAGCTGCAGTTTTCAGACCCTCCTGAGAGCCTGGAGCGTGGCACTGGCGTGTCACCGGATCAAACTGTTCGGAGCAGCCTCCCACAGACAAGAAAGGGCCGATTCCTCCCTGGATCAGCGTTCCTCCTCGGGAAGCACAGCACTTCCCTCCTCGCACAAACTGGGTTTGTTCCTGGGGGAAGCAGCCGTCACCGTTAGGGACTGTGTCTCTGCTACTGGGAAAGCAGGTAGCTCTGCAGGTGTTTTTAAGCATATCGTGGAGAGAGGCTCCTCACTGGGAAATTAAAAACAGATTTTGTTTTCCCGTGAGCAGGTGCAGTGCGGGCTCTGGCTGCCCAGTCTCGGTGTCCACGCTTGGGCTGTGCTGACCAGGGCGGCGAAGGGCTCGGGGTGCCTGGCTCCTGTCCCCTGTCTCCTGCAGGTTTGCTGCCAACGCTTGGGCACTTTCCTATCAATAAGAACATTTCCCTGTCTGCAAGCTGAGGGCGATGAGTGTGTGAGGTCTCATTATGATGAGAAACATGCTCCGAGTCCCTAGGTGAGAGACAGCAGAGGAAACAGGAGTGGGCTTTTTATGATTTATGACTTTGTGAAACTTCCTCCCAGGCTTCGCAAGCCAGCAACCCACAGAGACTTTCATTTTGTGTCCCACACACATCTCCAGCCTCAAAAGCCCCCTCCAGACATCTTTTTAATTGGCTTAGAATAAAACCGATACTTGGTGTAGGATAAACACGAATCTCTTTGATTTCTACCTCCTTCCAGAAAAGCAAATTGGCATCCGCTGTCCTGTCCCCAGTCTGGAGCGGGGGACCGAGCTTTACACCCCTGCCACGCAGAGGCTTCCAAAACCGTACAGGGCTGATCCATCTTCCAGAAAAGGTCCTTTTCTGCCCTGTTTTGCTACTAAGCCCAAGAAAACGCATCATGCAGGAACGTGGCGGGAGGATAAACCCCTTTTCTGTGCCGGGTGGTGTAAATACCTTCCCACACCCCGATCTGGAAAGTCTCGTTGACTCACAAGGGAGGAAATTTCCTCTCCCCAAGTCCTGCCGCCGAGGGGGGCTCAGACCCGCCCAGCTCCGATTCTCCAGCAGTGCCTTGCTGCCAAGCGATGGGAGATGTCTCTGAGACAGGCCGTGGGATCCCTGTTCCGCTGGTCGGCGGACTGCAGGAAGGGGAGGTGATTTCTCCACCGCGTCAGAGGTTTTGTCCACAAGGAAATAATTTATTACAAAGAATTGTCTCGATGTGAGAGTAACGTGTTATTGCTTTTGAAATCTGGCTTGAAGAAGCGGTCTTGTCCCTCTCCTGAAGCCTGTGTCTGCGGACTGGGGAACCTGATGGACTTTTGGGGTTCATCGTGTGGTTTTTTGCTCCTTTTTAACTGGAGTTGTAGCCAAAGAAAGTTTTTATACAACCCATTTGTGGGAAGGTGTATATATTTATCTTCAATATTTATCTTCACGCTTGATACCAAACCCAAGCTCTCTCTCCATGTATTTGGGGCAAAACCACATTAAACGGTTCAATGTTTGAACCTGTGCTCCGTCCTGTGTGTCACGGCCACCGATCATTGAGCGTGAGGGGATTTGTCGCACATGAACGACAGGTTAGTCATCAAAACACGTGTTTCCAGTTCTGGATCATACCTGGGCAACGTGGAAGGAAAATTAACGAGACTTGCTGGGCGTGTGGCTGCTTCTGGCAGCATCCCATGTCCCAGGGATGCTCCGTCCTCGTGTGTCTGTGTCATCGGGAGCTCCAGGAGCACAACCTGGTGTGAGCTGGGAAACAGGCAGCGAGGCTTGGGGGAGCCCAGGGAGGGCACAGCACCCAGCTGCCGACCTGGCTCTGCTTCTGAAAGGCACTTGGGGAGGAATTTGCTGAAAGCATTTGTTGGGTTTTGTGGTTTTGAAGTGCCCACTTAGAATATCACTCGCTATTCTCTCTGCTTATGGCTCAGAGGAGGGCTGGAGAGGGCAGCGTTGTCATTGAAAAGGAAATATTCTTTTAGATTCTTATTTGAAGGGGGGAAAAAAGTATATTTTCTAATTGCATCATCTGAAAATTGACAGCTTGTCAGAGCAGAGTGTGATGGTCACATGCCAGAAGCAGGGAGCTGTAGGATGAGATCTGAAGGGAAACTCATCTTGTTACTGCTGTCAGGTGCCCGCAGAGCCACAAGCAAATCCCACACCCTGCTGGATATCCAAAAAGCTGCGCTGAACATTTCTCATCACACCGAATCCCCTGTAGCGCAGGCTGCTGTGATGAAACACGACGGTTTCACTGCGGTGCAGCTCGCTGCTTTCGCAGGAGAGCGAGACAGACACAGCCCAAATTGGGTGAGGAAATGAAACCCCAAGAAGCCGTGATGTTCTGCGGACTGAAGCAGCCCCAAACCTCTTGTCCACGAGTCACGGGATGTGGCTCCCACCGGTCCTTGGTGAGACGGAGGTGATCTGCTGGGCTGTGCGCGTGGGAGCTGGAACCGAGCCTTGGCTTATGTTAGGCTGGCGGAAGGGTCTGGAGTCTGAGGTTCAGACTAACCAGAGATGAAATGGCCACGAGAAAGCTCTCGGAGAAGAGTGATGGTGAGCAGAGGAGGGATGGAAAAAGAGAGGAACGAGGCAGGTGAACCCAGCACTAAAGCCTGGCTTTGCGCTATTTCAACCTACCGCAGAACTGCTCGGTGACGACATCTTCTCCGAGGAGACGGACGTTGAAAAGGGTCTCGAGCAGCAATGCGTGGGCTGGGAGATGTCTCGCGGCAAATCCACCCTCTGGAGAGTTTGCGTTGGGCTGGGGGACCCTTCCCAGCACCCAGAGGTCCGTCACCCCTCGTTGGGACACCCTCAGTCATGCCACGGGGGTGCTGAGCTGCTTCCGCGGCAGCTCCGCGTCCAGGGGCTCCATGTCAAAAAGGTTGATGGAGCGGGGGCCAGTGGGGGCCGGCAGCAGGCTGTGGTCGTTCCCCAGCGCCCCGGATTCCAGCGAGTCAGTCTCTGCCTGCAAGGTGAGGACGTTCTTGAGGGAGGTGGGGGCGCGGGGGCCGCTGTTGGAGTTCCTCATGGAGAGGGAGATGGCGCTGGGCCGGGGCTCACCCGCGCGCCGGCAGCAGGGGCAGGTACCTGCCCATGGCTCTCTTGAAGTCCCGCATGAAGAGCGGGTAGATGATGGGGTTCATGGTGCTGTTGCAGTAGCCCAGCCAGGTCAGCACGTCGAAGAAGCCAGCTGGGACGCAGCCGCAGACTGCCTGGGGGGGACACAGCGAGAGTTAGGAGCAGCTCCCACCTCCGCCCCCATCCCCATTTCCCAGATATTCCAACATTTTCCTTTGAAGGAACCCTTCAGAACCATTTGGAAGAATTTTTCCTTCTTGTTGCTCCCCAGGGAAATCGCATCTTTCCTGTGTCCTGGGGCATCATCCCCAGCAGCAGGGTGAGGGAGGGGATTGTCCCCCTCTGCTCCGCTCTGGTGAGACCCCCCCTGGGGTGCTGCACCCAGCTCTGGGGTCC